CGACCCTCAAGTGCTTCGAATCCGTCTGCCCTGTTAGGAAGGAGAGGCTTCAGTCAACCAGCGATGCCTCGTCGGAGCCTGGAAGCAACACTGTTGCCATCCGCCAGTGCCAAGCCTGCACATCGCCGGGCACAGTGTTATTCGTAGCTTGTTGCTATGCTCAGTGACCGAACCATTCCTACAGCAACGAAATCTGTTATCTGCTGCCACAGGCAACGCAAAAGCACGAGGCAAAGCACGAAAGACGCATCAAGTCGGCTAATGTCGGTTGCACTGGCCAAACCGACCGTGGCTGGTTCAGATGGGCCTTCTCGCAGGCGCTTATCACGGCGTTCTGCGACAACCTCAATACTGAACAAAGTCGAAGAAAGACCAGAATCAGCAAATGGATGTGCCCCGCATTCTGTGTACGATCGTGGGTGCTTGAAATGGCTTGAGCCTTGAATACACCAAGTGTGCGACAGATAAAGCATAATTTGAAACAAGACGCGCATCAGTGGCAACACTCCTCGACTGCCGCAAGCATTCCACACTTGGCGTGTTGCTAACAACGTGGTTTCGGATCTTCGCAGCCGTGATGTCATGCTGCTCCCGGTCCTGCTCCGGGACGCTTCAAGAAAAGCCACTGCCGCTGACCATTGGCCAGCCTTCCTTCAGCTGGGTCATGCGGAGTTGATCCGGTGTTGTTGCATGTACGTGCACCCGGTATTCCACAACAGCAAGTCTAGTACCATTTGCAGCATGAGCTCTCGCAGGCACTGAGGACGCTGTTGCAGGTGATCGTATTTTCTTCGACAGATGCACGAGTCATACCTGAGTTGGAGTTGCGTGGGAGGCTGCAGCAGGACGATGCAATGCTCCAGATCACAGGTTTTCACATAGCTACGGAGTTGTCCCTTATCTGCGCCGAGTGGCTTCGGAGTATCTGCAAGGCCAAGGACCACATGCCAGATTTCTCACACGCGGCGAGAATTGCCCCTGATCCAGCTTGTAACGCGATGCTACTGCAACTGACTAAAAGTGGCGGCTCGAGATGTTACAGGTGCTGCTACGAGTAGCTCCTGCCCAAGAGCTGCACGAGTAGATCAGCTGAGGCTCCAAAAGCAACAACACCGACTTCCAGCGATAGATCTGCTGCTCTTCGCAGCCAAGAAAGAGCTTGAAGCCACCTGCAGCATATCCACATAACACATGAACGAACCCGTTGTCCGTGCTTAGGGTGTGACCCGGATGCTGCAGCAGCCGCAGCCTCTGCCCCAAGGCCTAAACTCGGCAAGACTTCAACTCGCGTGGCAGTAGTTCTCATAGGCAGTTTACGTTTTCCGAGTCATGAGCAGTGTTTGATAAGGATCATAATAATGTCGAGAAAAGCGCTCGGCCCGTCTTCTCGAAGATGGCTCTTTTATCGGGAAACAGCTTCGCAGTGTTTCGACGTGTCGAAGCGACATCGCAGCCACATGTCCTTGCTATACGCCCACTACTCTGGCAAGATCAAGCATGGAGCTGTGGCCGAACTACTGATTTCCGTCTCTGATCAATGTCTCAATGCACAGGCACGCCCTGGGGTGTCGAACAGCGCAACTCGGCGCTAACATTCTGCCACGACACGAACAACATCGGCGCCGGGACCAGAGAGGCGCAAGGCCATTTCCCAGTGCCGACCGCGCTCCAATGCCTCGGGTCTAAATCCAAACAATTTCACGACCGCAAGCCGTATAAATTGCATTCTATAGTCTAGTTGACTGCATGTTACTCATTGGTCTGACTGTATTTGGCTATTGAGTCAGGTATTCGGCTTGAGGGGCAACTGTCGACCGAAGCTGTGAAGCGGCGAAACTCGACAGAAGATACGAAGCAGCGACTCGTAGCACGGCGTTGTCTGACACGCCCCTTTTGCGGCAGGCTTCTCTGGCCCGGAAACCGTCGGTGTGAAGCAGTGCATCTGACATGGCCCTTTTGAAACCGGACTTGATGACTGCCAGCATTGCCTCTTCTGCCGTTGTTCAGCCGAGGCCAGAAAACGTTAGCACACAAGCACTCCACTCCCTAGGATAGGCACTCCACGTGACGACCACCGAATGTTGAAGCCAAAGCTCCCTGACCACTTGAAGTTTGTGGTAGTTCCAACAGCACACAATCCGGCCCTAAACCCTAAACCCTAAGATAATCCCACAGCCTGCACCCCGCCGACACTTAAACCCGAAGCTCTAAACCACTTCTAAACCCACAGACATAATTCCGATACGCCCTCGACCCCTCGCGTCACTCCTTTTATCGTGAAACCCCCCGCCCGTAAATCTTGTGCCAGGTATGGCCCGCCGCTTCTCAGCTTCTCGCAGCTAAATGTGTGTAGTTCGAGTTGAATGTAATAAGTTCTGCTATTCTACTGGTTCTGCTATTCAACTGGTTCTGTACCCCGATCCCAACCATCATGCCAAACGTGCTATATGATCAGCGGGCCAGTCTGGAAAATTCATGCCGAACCGACATCCCCCACACTCCCGCTTATGAACAGGATGAATGGTCTCCGAGGCCCACTTCGCTGCAGATCAACGTGTGCCGAAGGCTCGACGGGCCAAGTGCATGTAATGATGCAGCAAGGCAAGAACTGAAGCACCCTTAGGGTTTGTTTTCGGCTAGGTCGGTTAGGTCGTGGCTGGCATGGTGTGGGGGGGGATCACTGGGGCTTTCTGGGCATGCACGGCAACATAAGGTAAACGGCTGAGCACGCATCAGTGAATTAGCCATCCATCATCAAGTCGGAGCCGTGTTTCAGCCCGCAGCCAATGCTCTATGAAGCCGACTCGCTACAAGAAAACAACACCCTTCAGGGGGTTACGATCCGCTTGGATGCCTGAGGGCATGGTCGACGGCTTTTATCAGGCAAGCCACGGTCATGGCAGAGCTGGTCGTGACCTGGTCCATTTCGATTGTTCCTTTCCATGTCTCCTGCAGGCACCATCTCATCTGCACGTCAGAGAGGGCAAACGCACGATCTTGCAAGACCGTCGCTGATCAACTCCCGCCGTGGAACACATTCTGCTGTCCTGCATCAAACACAGCGCACACTGCCAGAGTTCAGCCTGCTGGAATGCCTTCATCGCAACGCCCTGATTGATCCTCGGCTTTGCGAGGCCACGCTGCTCCAAGTCTGCAGATCCACACACTTTGGAAAAACCACTTTGCGAGCACAATGTACAATTCTACAATGCACGACAACCTCGGTTTCAGCCAGAGGGCTGGCTCGGCTGTAAACCCTCTTGCCGAATCGCCGAAAGTGCCTTTCATCATGCTGAGCTGCATGCAAAACGTCAGGCCATTGTCATATTTAGCTCATTTTCACTCATGCCTCTGCAGCAGCTGGCCAACGGCTCCAGCAGCTGAAAGAAGCAGGACTCGGTTGCAACAACGCCTTCAACAGGGACGGAGACATGGTTGCAGCTAATGCTGCGTGGTCGTGAGTGTTGGAGCGTCGGTCGCGAGCCTTGTAAAGAGCCCGAAACACGTCGAAGGCCGTTTTCCAACGGCCACTGCGTTCACAAGAGCTCATCAATGAGTTGAAAATGACCTGCGGGTCAAAAAACCAGGAAGCAATATCTTGCTCTCCATGTAATGTCAAACGTCACATGTCGTGCGAATTTCAAACGCTGTTTGGTCACCTCCGAGGATTGCAGCTTCTCTTTCTGGCCCCATTGGAGAACGGAGGTGGCTCCCGCCCAGTGCCGATGCCGAGCCAGGGCACTCAGGCCGGCACCCAAGCCTCAAAGACTGATGAAACAGCCGACGAAGCAGGAGCCACTTAAGCCAAACTGCTGTACATATCCGGCTCCAGTCGGAGGCCGCCAGCTCTTTGCAGCACCAGCTCTGCACCTTACAAACGAACACACTGCTTTGACAGTTTTGGAATCTGTAAATACCCAGACCTACCAGTACGGTTTGTTGCCCAGCCGCGCTCCCACTGATCTCCCTTGTCCAGTGCCGAAAGAAGCTTGTTGAACTGCAGGAGATGGCACCCATCCTGCACGGCCGAAGTGGTGTCCGTGACTCTGTCAAGGGAGGCAGTGTGTTTGAGGTTGTGCGCCTTCTGCTGCGCATGGCCCAGCCCAGCAATGGCCCAACTCCAGGGCAGGGGGCCTGAGTGTGAGAGTCACTGATCCCAAGAACAGCCCCCAGATTTCCACGCGAGCGACCATCTATTCAGGCAAAACCTGAATGGGAGTGGAGTAGCACCGGCAAGACACTGCGAACCGAAGAAGGTGTTTCAAAGTAGTGAAACCCACTGCAGAACGCTTTTCCTGATGCTGCCGATTCTTTCGTCCATGCGCAAGGGCTGATAATAATAACATACGCGGACGTAGGCTGCTTCGTGTAAACAGATGTCGTCTACGGTGCTTGGGACCCCTGCGCCGGCCACCTGCTGCCTCGGGAAGTTCTGGGACATGCTGATTGGCACCAGCATTGTTGAGCATGTCCTTCTCGCGAAGCAAAGGGTTGTGGCTGGTTTGGGGCAACGCAGATTAGCATCTTCATGTTGCTACAGCTAGGGCCAGGATTGTTACGTAGCCTCTTACTTCTGCATCGCCGATGTACCTAGACTTTGCTGTGTCTTTGCCTCCCTAGAACCAGCCTGATTGTGGTTCGTCTCTGGGAATGACAGATTGCAACAAGTTGATCGCGCCTCGACAGGACACGATCATCCTGGAATGGCTGCAGGTGTCCAGCGGCCATCGTGCAGCCAGAGCTAGCTCTGGCTCGGCATCTCATGCACTAGCTGCAACGATGCAGCCATATGCAGCCCCAAAATGCCCAAACCCAGATGTTTGGCACGGCATCACAAAAGTTGTTTTGGCTTCTGAAGCCAGCTGGCTGAAGGCCACGAAACCCGCTCTAGCATGGTCGAGTCCGCCAGCCAATGGCTGATCGGAAAAACAGTTTCTGCATTCCACAGCATGCGGCCAATGCGGTGGTCTCGCAGGGCACCCACTGTCTTGGCTCCCTACTGCTCCGTAATTGCCTTGATCCGCCTGTCGACGGTGTCCCTCGCAGCCGGTCAGCACAAACTCGGCAATCCCTCACTCAAATGACACTGCAAAGCAATTGGCACCCGCTGGCCTCGGCACGTTGTCTTTTAGCGCGTTCTGCAGCAAGGACGAAATGAATATCGCATCTGCAGTGGTCACTTCTGCGCCGTGTGGTGCCTTGATGAACCGATTCAGCATGGAGTTCGCTGACGGATCCGGCCCTCCATCGCGCACGGCCATGGTGATATTCCTGCTCTGTCACGCACATACCCGCGTGCACGCGCAAGCGCTGGAAAGAAGAAGCTGGAGGACAAGTACAGCTTGCGTGCATACATGCGCATCGGGCACGTGCTTGTTTCTTCTCCTCTTCTTTTTCTTTTTCTTTTACTCTGCAGGGTTTGTGGTTGGAGGGCCCCCTGAAGCGGAGGTCTCGGGGCAAGCGTCATAAGGGATAAAGAAAGATTTGCACAAATGAGAGACTTGATTCAAAACTCTTGGGCTCTGTGATGTTGCTTCACACATCACGCCCAACCCCACCACCACCAACATCTTGCTGGATAACTGAATCAGCGTCACATACGGAGTTTCCCACCACCGCATGGCTGTGGCTGGCTGTGCTCTCGAAGTCTAACTCTCTTCGCCGAAACAGGTCTGACGCGTCTATACGGGTCACTTGCTGCCACTTCGCCTCAAGTGCTTTGCCGTGACTTTGGCCTCCAGGCAGCTTGCGCAATCATTGTTGTTCTAACATCCAAAAGATGTCTACGACTGCGGGCTGCAACGTAGTGCAGGGGTGCATCCTCAATGATTCCACAAGCAAGCACTGGCTGAGGGACGGCAGGCTCCGACTGTCGTGTGCATTGCATCAATGACTCATGACTCAAACTGCAACGGCAAGGCCTGCTTCCGTTCAGCAGGCCTCGAAAGTTCTGCTGCACCCACCATCGAAGCTTCAGTGAAGCTTCATTATCACATCTCCGATCATATTGCGACTTTTTGCCTCGGCCCCCGACCCCTTCTTTTTCTTGATGTTTGTCTCGTAGTTCCGGCCTCGGACCTGAAAGGGTGTGCGATTATGACGTAATGCTAGCTGGTTCTGTGGGCATTTGGTGAGCACCTGCAACGGACAAAGTAAGGCTCCCACAATGGTCCGGCCATCACCACGTGACCTGGAATCCTGAGACTGGCGGAGGACTGGAGAAGCGGTTCGAAGCTCGTGCACGAAACCCTGCAAACAGTGCTCGCACTCGTAGTCGTCGTCGTACAAGCCGCAGTAATGGCAGCAGTACAAGTAGTCGTACTAGTAATACTTGTAGTACTGGTAGCACTAGTAGTACTAGTAGTACTCGTAGTAGTAGTAGTAGTAGTAGTAGTAGCAGCAGCAGCAGTAGTACTAGTACTAGTACTAGTACTAGTACTAGTACTAGTACTAGTAGATCGGAA